AACCCTAAGGCCTAAGCCCTAAGCCCCAAACCCTAAACCTTAACCCTAAGGCCTAAGCCCTAAGCCCTAAACCCTAAACCTTAACCCTGAGGCCTAAACCCGAAGCCCTAAACCCTAAACCCTTGTCTGGGGCTCTCAGCCCCCTTGGAAGAAGAGGCGTCCTTCTTGCAGTAGAAGGCATGAATGACGGCGGAGGTCGCATTGATCTCGTCCCCAGTAGAGAACCAGCCCACCTGAGCCCAGCAGCAGCGAACAGTTTACAAGTTTACAGTAGACATGGAAAATACAGACAAAAAACGCCGGGACCACTAAACCTCACATTAATAGCACCACTGGCAACTGGTAGCGCCAACTATGGTGTGCCTGAGCTCCTGTGTTCCCGAGCCCCCCGATGTCCGTTCTTGTCTAGGGTTAAAGGTTCAAGGATGCTTATATAAGGCATCGTAGCAGAGGCTAAACAACATCAGTGCTGGAATCCCAGCTCAATGATTTTCCCAACTTTCTGGAAGCTACAGCAAGACCCGACAATGAAAGCTAGAATGCCAAGTCCCGTGCCACAACTTCCCGGGGCGACACTTTCTGTCTCAGCTCCAGCATGGACTTGTGGTAGTCCTTCGGAGTGTCATCACATGGGCTTCGGGTATTGGGCTTTGCGTTTAGGGTGTATCCCTACGACAACTCCGCCCTCAAGCTACCCAGAGCTGTCAGTTAGAGGCTTTGAGGTCGAGGAGCTCTGGATTAGGCTTGCCCGGTAGCGGCTGGCGAGGAGCTTACCTCGTTGAGATAATCTTATGTTTGCACCACCCGGGGGCCTGGGCAAGGTAGTATAGGGGCCTTAATATTTCCAAGAGGGTTTGGGTGTCTACGATCATATAATCATATTTAGGAACCACATGTAGGGAATACTACAATCGACTAAGTCTTCACACCCTTCTCAGACTAGCATCTAAAGGTAAGGAATGCCATTATACACTACTTCTTGCCTTTCTGGGTGGGTTCCTGCCTCGCAGACTTAGGGACTGACTCTAAACCCCGGCGATCATGACCGAGAGCCTCATCATCGTAGACCCTAGTGAGAACTCTTCGGGTTTATTACTTAGTGGTCGGCAAACCCTAAGAATTCCCTAACAAACCCGGACAACACTACTAAACTCCAATGCGTGTGGCTAACCTGATAAGCCCGAAACCTCTAACGTCCGATCTTGAAGCGGGCGTAACCCCTGCCCGCCTGATCGATTGCGACGCCCTCCTCCGTGTCCTGCATGGGAGTCACTTGAGGGTTAATGGGTGGCATGACTACGTAGCTTAAGGCTCTACTATGCTGCATGCTACATACCCGTTAAGAGTGTACTAAAACCCTAAACCTTAAACTTGAACCAAAAACCCGAAACCACAGAGAACAAAGAAAAAAAAAAACATCGCAGCTGCCACTGTTATGCTAGCGCGTGTCGGCCCGCGAGCCCTGAATTCATACCAGCGTTTCATAACCTTATAGGGTTTGGGGCTTTAGGGCTTAGCGGGTACGTGGCTCAGGGTTTAGGGCTAAGGAGTTTAGGGTTTAGCGTCAAACGCTTACCTGTTCCCAGAAACTTCCTGAACCGGAAGCTCAGACCGACCAGGTCATCCGACAGGACCCGGATGCCTCAGACTCGACACTCGACCCTAATATAGGGGCCTTCATAGTTAGAATGAGTTTGGGGGTCTATTATACTATACTTATAGTAAGTAACCCCCCCCCCAAAAAAATACTAATAGGTAATTACGGCGCCTACATTATTTCCGAAGCCCGTCAAGCCCACAGTGCTCTTCCTATGGGTCCAAGCACCTTATGACCATGTATTCTCCCGAATACATGACTACTATCCGAAATCCGAATAGCGAGTCATTGGGTCCTGTGGACCGTTTGTGGTCCTTTAGCAATATTCAGGTCTTGTAATTGGCCTTCTGACATTTAAGAAAAGGCCGTGACCTCAAGCCCAAACCGGGTAAGAAGTGGACAGAGACCCGAAGAACCCCCCAGAAAGCCCTAAACCCTCAACCCTAAACCCCAAACTAAACCCTAAACCTTAAGCCCTAAGCCCGTGCCGGACCTTGTGGGGCACTGGGAAGCTGTCTGTGATGTCTACGGCGCTCCCTTCACCTTTTTCAGACTCACCCGAGTTAGGGAACCGAAATGTGCAGGGTATTAGGGTTCGAGAAGGGTCTGAAATGGAGGCTTTCCGAAAATAGTGGACCCTTTTTTTGAGTACCCGAAATAGTAGGACCCTTATTATAAGGGCCCCAAAATAAGGCACCCCTTGCTTTCGGAAACTCCCAGTTGAGAAGGGTTTGGGATTGAGGCTTCGGAGCGATGCGTGAAGCTTTCTGCTTGAGGGCGATTTTGGGGTACCCTTTCAGTTTCAGGGTTTAGGGTTTAGGGTTTAGGGTTTAGGGTTTAGGGGGACAGAAGAAGGTGAAGAGGAGGCCAATAATCCTAATATCGGGGCACCAATACCGAAAATGACTTTGGGGATGTGTAGTATGGTATCAGCACAAGGAGGAACCCCCTGAAGAGTGATATTCACAATCCAATACTTATTTAAGCTTCTATCCCAGGGCTACCCAGCCCCGCCCTGGACATCAAATAAGCACCCTGACAAGCTTGCAGTTCTCGAGACGCCCTCCAAATAATTTCCAATCCAATACTCGTCGGTTTAGGATTTAGAGCGAGTATAGCGGCATCTACCCCAAAACCCTATCTGAAATTATGTAAAGCCCCTCTGGCAATCCCCTCAAATCCACAACCCGCAAGAGGGGAATAGAAACATGTGCCTTTTTCCATGGGAATGCCTTTAAGAACGTACCTTAGAGATGGGATTCCTAGGGGGCAGCACACACCGAAGATTTCCAGATTTCCTCAACCCTCAGCCCTCAGCCCTAAACTCTAAAACCTCAACCCAGGGTTTTAGGGCTTCGGGAACCCGAAACCCCAAATTCTAAAACCATTGACCCTACAACACCCTAAAACCCTATAAACCCTAAAAACATCCTAAGACCTTATAAACCCTAGACTCTAAACCCTCAGTCCCGGGCTGATCCAGCCCAGGAGGGTGCCAATGGTGCGTGTGGCGCCCGCAGGCCGTCGTACGTAAGCGTCGAGGATCTGAGAGCCCCCGGACGAATTTACAGAGCCAGTTTTTAGGGCTTTTCGGGTTCAGGGTTTGGGGTTTAGGGTTTAGGGTTTAGGGTTTGGGGGTTTAGGGTTTACGGTTTGGGGCTGGGGCTGAAGTCCTATACCCTACACCCCGACACCTTAAAAGCAAGTGTTCGTGACTAAGGATTCCTCGAGGTCAAATCTGTGAGGTTCTTCTGAAACAGCTTCGCCTGTTGCCTTGGGATTCGCGGTTCGCGCAGCTGGGTGCGAATGACTTCCGGCAGGCTGATAGGTTCTAGCTTACACTTGGTGCTGTGAGCTCTCAGGAACTAAACCTACTTTAAGAACCGAAAACCCACTTTTTTGTAGGTTCTTATTATAAACCTTAATATGGGATTAAAAGGGACCCCACAAAAAAGTAGGTTTTGGGTTCTTAAGGTAAACCTTACCTCACCCCTGAACTCCGGACCCGGGGCTCAAGGATGGCCTGAATATGTGGACTGGCATTTGGATAAACGTTCGAGGGAGTCGAAAGGAAAAGATGTCAGCGACTTCGTGAGGCCTCTAGCTTCCTTGTCCAATGTAACAGGTCCCCTAGGCCCCTAAACCCTGAACCGTGCTTGTCCACTGTCCTCGGGAAACTAACCGCTAACCTTTGGGACGATGAAAAAGCTGGGCTCATGTCTACTTCGATCAAGGTGCCACCTTCAGCCCTAATGTGGAATCTTCAAGAAGATCACACAGCATACAGCACAAAAACCATCTAGAGCACGAGCCGCAAAGTAAGAGCAACCGCAAGAAACACAGGAACTGTGACAAAGATGGCTACAACAATGATGTGAACCACCGTCCAATAGAAGTCTATCGAACCAGACATCTCAAACACGACACTCAAGCCCAAACCAGAAGACACTGAATAACACCTATACAGAAACCCTTATAGAACCCTATCAAGAACCCTAACCCTGGGCCCCAAGAAACCCTAAACCGCCTGTGCATAACACCCATAGGGAAACCTTTATGGAGCCCTAAACCCCAAACCCTAAACCCCTAAAGCCCTAAAACCCCTAAAAACCCTAAGCCCCAGAACCGCTAAATACCCTAAACCCCAAAAACTCCTAAAAACCCTAAACCCCAGAACCCTAAATACCCTAAACCCCAAAAACCCGAAAAACCCTAAACCCCAGAACCCTAAATACCTTAAACCCCCCAAAATCACCCGAAAAAGCCCCTAAAAACCGCCTGTGCATCTGCTCGCGCCTTGAGCACCGTCACTGGGTGCACGCGGCAGCTCAGGGGCTGCTCGATGCTGCTCTTCTGCACGCGGGACCTGAGAGCTTCTAGGCTTAAGGGCGTGTGTTAGGGCTCTAGGCTTAAGGGCGCCTTAGGGCTTTAGGATTTAGGGCTTTAGGGCGTCTTAGGGCTTTAGGGTTTAGGGTTTAGGGCTTTAGGGTTTTGGGTTTTAGGATTTAGGGTTTTAGGGTTTAGGGCTTCAGGGTTTTAGGGTTTAGGGCTTAGGGTCTTTGGGCTTTTGGGGTTTTTGGGTTTAGGAGAGCTTCTGGCCTCATTGGTAAGAATAAGGGCATAAAAGTGTACTTACACTACTGTTGATGATATACATCCTACATCTGCAGTACCTTAAGGACCCTAAACTATGGAAATTATGGTATATTCCTTATTATCGGTAATGCAGGATCTATATCATCAACCGTAGCAACCCTTTGAAGGAGCAGTGGTGAATACTCAGGCTTCCATCTCTCAGCTTTGGGCTCTTGTGGTTTTGCAAGATTCAGGACTCAGCTAGATCCATCTGTGAATTCTGAGACGAAGAGGCAAGATGAAGCTTTCTGACCTTGGGTATATCTGGAGCATGCGACTAATTAGTGGATGTGGCTCCTTGCTGCTCTATGAGGAAACCCTGAACCCTAAACGAACCCAAACAACCCTCGTCAGGGTACGGCTCTAAGCACCAACGCATACATACTGAAACGTAAGCGCCGCATTTACCCTAAGCCGCAGACGGAATGGAGCCTGTATAGTTAGAACATGCGGAAAATGGATCGGTGCTTTATTTCGATAGCTTTCAGGGCATACAGCTACCACTTCTTCGGACCCCCTAAGCCGAGTTTGACGTCCATCACAGGCCCGGCGAGCCTGAACCCTGGGTTCGAGGCTTATGGTTTAGGGCTTTAGGGTTTAGGTTTCTTGGACTTGGGGCTTTGGGTGCCAGAAAATTTGGCCCTGAATCCTGCCTTTGTATGCCAAACCAATGTCAAACAAACATCCACAAAAAAGTGGTGCCCTGAACCAAGGGCCCAGCGCCCTAGACCCCAAACCCTCTAAACCCTAAACTCTAACCTTAAGCCCCAAACCCTAAATCAAGGGCCCAGAGCCCTAGGCCCTAGACCCTGCAAGCCCTATGAATCCTAAACCCTAAACCTTAAGCCCTAAACCCTAAACCTTGAGCCCTAAACCCTAAACCTTAAGCCCTAAACCCTAAACCTTAAGCCCTGAACCTCAACCTTAAGCCCTAAACCTAAACCTCTAAACCTTAAAGCCCTAAACCCTAAACCCTGATCCCTAAACCCTAAACCCTGATTCCAAGGGCCCAGCGCAATGTTGAAGCACTTGGGTGGAGTGCCCTTGGTCCTCTTCTCGGGAAGGCCCCAGAGGGCCTCGCAAGCGAGCTGGGCTTTTTGGGCCGCTTCTGGGGGTTTAGGGTTTAGGGTTTGGGGTTTGGGGTTTGGGGTTTAGGGTTTAGGGTCGGGCTTTTTGGGGCGCTTCTGGCTGGCTTTCTTTTTCAAGACAGGGTTTAATCTGGACTCTCTAATGCTCTTGAGGGTGGCTTCTACTGCTATCAGCGAATCAATAAAGCTTCATGGGAGCTTGCTTTTGCCGGGTGCTGCACAGGGTTTTGAGTTTAGGGAATTGGGCGACAGCATGGCCAGCTGCCCAGGCTCCTGGCATACCCTCCAACTCCCCAAACCCGGAAGGTCAGGGACCGTAACGCCATGCTGTCAATAGATGCTGAAGCTGAATCAGGCCCATGCATGAGCCCCCGAGCACAAGCGCCGATTTCGCACAGTGCGAGTCGATGTGCAGCCCTTTTGCCGGGACTCGGACGTGCACTGGCTGAGCCATAGTCCAGCGCACGGGGCCTTGGCCGAAAGGTTCGTGTTCAAGCTTCGCGGTTACCTTGGTTCTGATGGACGTCGCGTGTTTTTTCGAAAAAAACACATGGAAATCTACAAACAAGCAAGGACAAGCATTTGGGGAGTCGGCAGGTTTAGAGCTCGCAGGGAAGCAGGCTGCATCTAGTCATCTAGTGTCTCTGAACCCGAACGCCGCTTGTAAACCCTAAACCCGAAACCTAAACCCCAAACCAGCACCTGCCATGCAGCACTCGGAGAAGCCCCGAGACCCCATATTGGCCACCCTAATCAGCTAAATCAGGATCTTGGGTGGTTTGCTATAGATCAAAAAGTGGCCGTTGATTCGGATTCGGGGATGAGGAGTTTGGGCATAGGCCGATAGTCGCCTTGAAGTTTTGGTCTCGGGCCCGGCTGTATGCTCCCCTCCTCCCAGGGAATACTGTAAACTGTAAGCACCCAAACTTTATGCTCTTGTGCCTTGAAAGGGGTTGCAGTAGGGACCCAAATGTTAAAGTCGTTATGAAAAGGGCGGTGCTCTTTGATCCTGATCCACATTCCTTCATGGCACCTCCTGGGGTTCCTGCAGGGTCTAAAGCACATCGTGAGGCCTACGGCTTGGGCTAATAGGGTCTATAGCCTTAAGGTTTAAGTTTAGGGCCTAGTGTGAAGTCCAGCTTGCAGGACGAAGACTGTTCAGGGTTTAGGTTTTTTGTCTGAACGTCCGCCGAGTCACAATCGCCTTCCTCTGCACGTCTTATCGGCTACAGCTGGCTATCTGCAAGTCCCTTGAGCCAGATGCAGCATCGCCTTTGCGTAAGGGACCCGAAGCCTCTCTCAAACCGTCCGTAATCCCAGAAACCTACTAGACCTTACAATCCTTAACCCAGCCTGTTGGAACCTCCTTCATCCCGGAAATCCTGATTCGAGTTCAAGGCTTGAGGGCTGCTGGCCGTTACGGGATTTGGCGTTCGGGGTCAGAGTTGGGGTTTTGGGTTTAGGGTTTAGGGTGTGGTGAAGGGTAGAGTCGAACCGTGTGAGATGGCACGAAGCTTTTCGACTCTGTGTAGGTCTTCAGAGCACTTGTAGTGCTTTCGAGAGGCTGTACAATTGTAGAGCTCAGGGTTTGGAGTTTGGGGCTTCGGGCAATTAGGGTGCAGGCTGTACTTGCAGTGCATTTAGGAGTACTAGTTACTATTTGAGTCCCCCTATAGGTCCTATACTCGGCGCAGCGAGTGGATTCAATCGAAGCAAGATTCCCTTGAAATAGCCGCACGATGCCCGGCCCAGAATGTGGATACCTACTACGTCGGTAAGCCGCAGAAATTCGAAAGATGTATCGGTCAGGCTCTGGTACCGCAAAGGCCCGCACACTCGAAGATTGCTCCAAAAATACTCATCCGACTTGCCCACTACCCAGGGAAACAACACTATTAAATTGTAAGAACCAAAAGAGCTGAAAAAAGGATCGCGTTGGAGTAACTAGGTCGTGATGACCATTATCTCAAGCCATGTAGCTTAGGAACCTGGAACCCTTAGTCTCAAACCTCAAAGCCAGAGCCCAAAAGCCGCTTACTGAGAAGAATATGTTGTACTGCAAAGATCTAGGGACAAGAAGGGAACATCGATGCTAATTGTCAACGCCGAAACCATAGACAACGCCGAAACCGTAGCAGTAGGCACCATAACATGAGGGGTTTATTCTTCGCAGCTACGGTTGATGATATAAAACCTGCACTACCCATAATAAGGAATATACCGTAATCACCATAGCGCAGGATTTATACCATCAACAGTATTGTTAGCAGTACACTTGATCTCCAAAGCCTTTCAACTCCTCAAGCTCACGAAACCCCAACCCTAAACCAGAAGGACCCTTACCCCTAAACCCAGATCCCACAAGCCCTAAACCCTAAACTCTGCAAACCCCACAAGCCCTAAAGCCTAAGCTCTAAACACCTCCACAAGCCCTCAACCGTAAACTCTACAAACCCCACAAGTCCTACACTAAACCCAAAAACTCCGCAAATCCGCAAATCCCCAGAAGCCAGGAAACCAACAACTCTCCAAACCCCACAAGCCTATATCTATATATATATATATATATATAGTATCCAGTATTGTAGACCCCGTTGTTATGAAGGCATCCCAAAAAAATCGCCCCTTTCCTCACGTCACGCGGACGCTCTGCAGTCCGCCGTAGTCGTCGAAGGCCTCACCCAAGGGTGCCCAGGCCACCTGCCAAAGAGGCGAGTATGGGGGCTTTATAACTAGGGTCCTTGAAGGGTTCTTAACAATGGGCCACCAAGGTTACAATAACGGGTACTACATAAGGCTTAAGAGGCTAGCAGGCTTTAATGTGTAGGCCTGCATCATTAGACTGGGACTTGGGGGGGTATATTGCCCTCTAGTTAAATTGAGGACTACAAGGTAATGATGTTACTGAAATTAGGACTCTGTATTAAGTTCAAAGCTCAATGCGATCTGGACCGGATTTTGGCCACGGGAAACTGACACTCCGATCCAGGAATCCAGCATTGGGGCGTACAATTTGGGTACATACAGGCTCTTTGTTCTAAGATCTCGGATTTATTATGTTGTCAAAATCTAGGGTTTGGGATTTGCGTTATAGGGTTTAGGATTGAATGTTTCGTACGTAGGATTTTGCTTGGTGTTGTTGCGGTCTGATGCAGGTTTCCAGAGCCTCTTCTGAGTCTCCCAGGGCGGTGTCAAGTCACATACGGCTTTAGGCATAGGCTTGCACAAAGCTATATGTTGGCTTTGTAGGGTTTCTCACAGGTTCCAGACACGGGCCTGAACGTCGATACCAAGTCTGCAAGTCTCCGCGAATTTCATGGCATGTCAACAGTGCGTTGATGCCAAATGATATTCGAGGTTCGAGCAACGTTATCACTCGAAGCCGTCACTTCAGCAGCGCTCCGACAGCACCGCACGGTGCATTTAAGCAACAGCTCGTACAATACAATGATCAGCATCAGAATCGCGTTAGTTGAGTCTTTCCGCGAGTTCAGAACTCCTTGCAAGGGAAGCTCTTGCCTTCCCATCGGCTTGCCTGAATTTTGCCACGGTGCTCAGATCTCCGCACTCTGGAATCTCAGAAAAAGCCCTTCCAAAGCCTGCGAAACCCTATGAATTCACATTTCCAAACAACACCTTGTGAATATCTAACCCACTTTGAACAGTTGTTTGACGAGGCTTATGAAACCTAACGAAACCCTCCACAAACCTGCAACAAGCGCTATGGCCCCCAGAAAGCCCTGCCAAAAGAAACATAACACCCGCATGTGACCGTGTAAACCCGCATCATCAGAGGCTCATGGTTTGATTTAGAAAGGGGCCTCGTGGATTAGAACAGGGCTCGGGGGGTAAACTATCTGTGGAACCATGGGGGGGTACGATTCTCCTACCTATTCCTAAACCAGATGTATCACCCTGAAAGGAGCCCCAGTGATTTTGCCGGCCGCCACATCAATGCTTGATTTAGGGTGTAGGGCCTCACCAAACCCTAAACCCCAGGCTTTACCTGCTTGGAGGCCTGCTGCGCCATGAAATACTCCGACTGGATTTGTACCAGCGCGGCCCAGGGCGCCTTGATGCAGTCGATGCCTGGGCCAACAACCCAGATTTGAACTTGATGGGGCTTGAAGGGTCTTTATACAACAGTTTTAAGGACGTTATATATGGGCTTTTAGTGTTTGATTTTTTTGGGGGGGGTTGAGCTAAAGTTTAGAGTCTAACCTTTAGGGCTTGAAGTTTAGGGCCAATCGGCTTCGAGATTAAAGTCTTAAGGTTTGAAGATTAGGGCCAAGGAGTTTGCCTTAACCTCCCAAAATCCACTGTTTTGTAAGCTATTATTATAAACCCTAATATGGGATTCATAGGGAGCCTACGGAAAAAGCAGGTTCTGGTGGGTTAAGGGAGGGTCTAATATAAGGAGAATGAAACATTGGAATAAACCGCAAACGCAAAAAGTTATTCTAGCCATCAAGGCACCTTACATGACACCTTAGTGATCTAAGCATGAAAGTTGAGGAATTCAAGTTAAGTCTAGGGGGTTTCGCATGCCTGCACATCGGTGTTGATGGCTTTAGGGTTTGATTTAGGGTTTGGGGTTTCGGGGCATGGAAGCAAGAAAAGCACAAGCCGATCCACGATGGCAGAAACCAGGTTCGAGGATGCGGAAAAGAACACGGGGGTTGAGGGTGCAGGGTTGAAAAGATGAAATGCACGCGAAACTATCCGTAAGAAGCCGAGCCTAGAACCCGGCGAGAAAAAAGAAAGTCCCGAGCCTAGAACCCGGCGAGAAAAAAGAAAGTCCTAAAAAGCCTGACACCCAAAAGCCGAAACCCCAAACCCTAGAACACTAAACCCTAAACCCTAAACCCTAAACCCCTAAACCCTAAACCCTAAACCCCTAAACCCCTAAACCCTAAACCCTAAACCCTAAACTCAAAAACACCGAAGAGCCCAAGACCTGCCCCTGAGGACTCGGCTTGTCTCCTGTAGCTGTGTAAGCTGGAGGAGCACTTGCTCATCCAGCTCGCTGGCCTCTGAGTGAGATATTATCGGGGCCTGAATACCTAGAGTACGGGTTTCCTGAAGGTTCTGTCAAGAAGGGATTTAGGGGGTTGTAGGGTCTTTACCGGAAATAAGACTGAGGGGGTTATATTCTGACATATGGTGCAACATGTATAGAAAAATATGTATACATCTACAATATACATACACATGTACATATGTGCATGCATGCACATATGTCTATATGTATATGTACGCATGCATGCATGTATGTAGGTATGTAATCAAGGGATTTTAAGCGGATACTCGTATTTATGCAGAGCTCAAAGCGAATTCAGAATGCGCAAGCCTTTCTGAAGTAGTGGGCTAGTTTGGGATTGAAGGATTGCAGCTTGCAGGGAACTAGTCAAAATAATATCCGGTTTAGGGCTTAGGATTTAGGGTTTTTAATATCCTTACTGGGGCATAGGTTTCCGTAGTTTATGTTTGCTTGCGTCTTGGGGCCTTCAAAACAGGACGAACAGCCGTGGGAACGGAAGGGACCTGCCTCCGCACGTGTAGTGTTTACGGGTTTACGGCTTAGGGCTCGTGACTGGTCCCTGTCAACAGGCATACATACCCTGAACGCTAAGACTTTAAACATGTTGAAAACCCAAACCACGAAGCCCCCCTAAACCCTAAATGCCTAAAACCCTACACCCTTAAAACACCCCTAAAGCCGAAAGACTCGAAAGCTTAGCCCCGAAAGCCACGAGCTCCGCACCCTCTGCATGTCTCCCTTCAGCCGAGCCTCGCGTTGCGCTATGGTGGGGCTGTTTCGGGGACTCGCGAGGTTGTCAAACTTCCGGGCCCTAGGGTTTAGAACTGAGGGTGTTGGACTTAGAGTTTTGGAGTTCGGGTTCTGGGTTTCAGGGTTTAGGGAGTTTAGGGTTTCGCAGTTTGGGCGTCGCCGTTGCAAGTTGGGGTTTGGGATTCGAACGTAACCCTTCTTGAGTCTTAACTGTTCCGGCTCCGTGTTTGTTTGCCTTAGGCCGTCGGAAAGGCCATGTCGTTGCATAAACCCACGGCCCCAAAGCAACAAAAGACCTGGACTCCCAAACCCTGAAACCCTCAAACCCCTAAGCAGCCCACCACTCCTGAACTCTAAGGGGACCCTTACCCTGGACCCTAAACCCTAAACCCTAAACCTGAAACCGTGAACTCTAAGGGGACCCTAACCCCAGACCCTAAGCTCTGAACCCTTGAGGGGTAGGGCGTGATATCTCTTTCAGGACCTGAGCCCCTCGACGTGCGAAGCTTGGAGCCTCTGGTTTAGGGTTTAGGGTTTAGGGTTTAGTCTAAGGGCCTTAACAGGGCTTAGGGCTGAGGGGGACTAGGGTTTCGGGTCTAAGGGGAGTTTGGGGTTTAGGGGTTTCGGGCTTTGGGGTTTTGAGGA